TTTGAAGCACATACACCAAAATTAAGAGGGCCAACAACTGTCCCACCAAGGAAAAGCACTCTGATTCATCGTAAACACTTGACTTCTGGGAAGCTTGAGCGGACATTTCACAGGACAGTAAACCAAAGAGACAGGTCGTCATTGGGTTACAGAACTGATCTGAGCTTGAGAGGGATCACAGTGAAATGCCATTGTAACTCAACAATTTCCCCAGAGATCTGTTCATCTCAAAAACAAGAATATATAAAAATCAGTAGTACAAATTCTCATAAAACTAGAAAAGCCCTCTAAGCCCTAATATCCTTGGAGCTTACATAAAGACGGAGTTTTCATTTTTCTTCCCTTTACTCTTCTCTAAATTAAATACAAAATAGTTTGTTATTTAGGACATTTCTGACTATACAGCCAAAGCTTTAAAATGAAGACAAGAGTAATTTTATAAAATGAATAAGACACATATCAACCCTAGGGGGAATCTTCAAGGTGGTCTGCTCCTTTGAAAAGCTTTAAACAGGAAAGCTTTTATTTAAAGAATGACACTGCGTTTCCGGGAATAACCTAATTATTTCCAGAGGAAGGAATTCATATCTATGCCATACAAGAGCTTTCACCCTTTAGAAGTGTTTTACTGAGTCACACACACACACACACACACACCTCACTGATCAAATTGGGGAATTCCCTGAAGCATACAGATAATGGCATTTATTCTGGCAAGAACTGTGCAAATTGTTACGAGAAAGATAAGGGATGGCAAGTATGAACAATTACATTTCAACAGATTCAGGAAGCTGATTTTTTTCATAGCTGAAATACAGCTTCTCAACATCTGAGGCTTGCACACTTCTCATCTGGAAACCAGGCTGGGTCACTTACATGTGGAAAGGAATAACTTATTACCAGACCGACCACATTACCATATTAAAAGTCTCCATTACCAGGTTCTTTTGTTAAAGACATCAAATAGAGCAGAGTTACTAAAAATGGAAGGGGACAGTGAGAAAGCAAGTCATACTATGAACAGGACCTCACCTTATGAACTGCCTCTCTAGCAAAATCAACTGCAGAAAGTAAAGAAACTAAGTGAAAGGTAATCAGTAGAATTCGCAGGTGAAATCCTACAACGCAGCAGAACACAGATGAGACATGCCCTCTTTTGATACAGTGGGCAACTACCAGTGTGACTAAGGGCCTGTTTCCTGTCTCTGCACTGAAGCACCAAAAATAAAAGATTCCAGGCTGAAGTAAATATGTTCTTTTATCTGCTAATGAGAACAGGGAGCTCAAACTAGGGAAAGGTATAAAAAAGGCTCTTTGAATTTCCTGACTAATCCCTATAGGTACATAAAAACATGTTTAAATAAACAGGATTATTTCCACTTATAAAACTAGGAGGCAATTGAGATTATTACATAGGTAACTGATAAGGATTTGATTAGCCAATGCATGTAATGTACCTAACATGGAGTAAACAAACAGTACCTACTGCCTCTACCTGAACACATTTGGAAGTAGGCGGAATTTGTTATTTGAGCAAAGACCTCCAGCAGGCTTACACTCCTTAGACAAAAAGCTAATGTCAAATGCTGAACTCGGGTACTGGTGAACTAAATTGTATAAATTTATACAATGTACTGGTGAACTATTTATGGGTTTGTGCAGGCATCTTTCTAAGTTATCCTGTCTCAACATCTTAAGTAGCAGAAAAAACCACAGCAGCACCTCTCTCCAAGAATCCTTCTTCTTTAATGGCTATTCTTACCTTTCTCCTTCCCAGCAGAGATGGGCACACCTAGGGTAACAACAGAGCTCATCTGAGCTTGGCTGCCGGAGGGCAGCAGGGGAGTAATCCCTGGGGAAGGACAAGATAGGAAATGAATCTCCCCTGGTTACTGCCTCAACTGTTGCACAACAAGCAGATGATGGGCAAAGATTTGGATTTGGCATTCAGAGTCATGTTTTTTTTTTGTTTTTTTTTTTTTGAGACGGAGTTTCGCTCTTGTTACCCAGGCTGGAGTGCAACGGCGCGATCTCAGCTCACCGCAACCTCCGCCTCCTGGGTTCAGGCAATTCTCCTGCCTCAGCCTCCTGAGTAGCTGGGATTACAGGCACGCGCCACCATGCCCAGCTAATTTTTGTATTTTTAGTAGAGACGGGGTTTCACCATGTTGACCAGGATGGTCTCGAGCTCTTGGCCTCGTGATCCACCCGCCTTGGCCGCCCAAAGTGCTGGGATTACAGGCGTGAGCCACCGCGCCCGGCCCAGCGTCATGTTAATGTGTAATGCAATAGAGAGACAATCGCACAAAAGTCAGGAGTTAACCTGTGTTCCATGCTCCATCATCGTTTGTTTATCAACCAGCACTTTGAGAATTCATTTACCATCAAGACTTTGTTTAGAGTGGGAGTAAGGGGGTGATTTGTTCTGATCTCAGGAAAGAAAAGTGAGCAGGGTTCTGGATAGGTCCAAGGAGCTCAAAAGCCTATGTGTGAGCACCATGGCTGGGGATGGCTCAAGGATAAAGGCCACTTCAGGGGCATGACCCAGTGGACATCGAAAGGGTAGATAAGGAACATGAGCTTGCTTCCTTCACAGATTAGCCTGGACCCAACAGCCTACTCGTGACAGCCTTTTATTCTATTCATAAAGGAGGTCTTATGCAGGAAGACTAAGACTCCCCTCTAGCAGCTTTCTTTGCTTAAGCAAAATAAAAAGAAAAAAAGGAACATCACAAAAAGGTGAACATCACTTTGGTGAGCTCGAGCTCTGCTACTTTCTTTTTTAAAGAGACAGGGTCTCACTGTGTCGCCTAGGCTGGGGTGCAGAGGTTCAATCATAGCTCACTGCAGCCTCGAACTCCTAGGATCAAGCAATCCTCCTGTCTCAGTCTCCTGAGTAACTAGTACCGGAAGTGTACACCACCAGGCCTGGCTAATTTTTAATTTTTCTGTAGAGATGGAGTCTTGTGATATTGCCCAGGCTGGTCTTGAGCTTCTGATAATCTTCCCATCATGGCCTCCCAAAGCTCTGGGACTACAGGCATGCACTACTAGCTCCACCATATCTAGACTAGCTCTGTTATTCTTTTTTTTTTTTTTTTTTTTTTTTTTTTGAGACAGAGTTTCACTCATGTTACCCAGGCTGGAGTGCAATGGCACAATCTCGGCTCACCGCAACCTCCACCTCCTGGGTTCAGGCAATTCTCCTGCCTCAGCCTCCTGAGTAGCTGGGATTACGGGTACGCACCACCATGCCCAGCTAATTTTTTGTTTTTTTTAGTAGAGACGGGGTTTCACCATGTTGACCAGGATGGTCTCGATCTCTTGACCTCGTGATCCACCTGCCTCGGCCTCCCAAAGTGCTGGGATTACAGGCGTGAGCCACCGCGCCCGGCAGCTCTGTTATTCTTGATGTGAGGCCACAAGCAGAACAAAGCAGACTCAAGGCCCTTGGTTGCTTGGACACAAGTAGCTATTAATAACATCCAGGAACAAGTTCAGTCTTCGGAGTCAGGAAAACCTGGGCTGGAATCCTGGCTACACTGGTCATCAGCTGCAGAAGCTTGGGCAAGATGCTTCACATCCCTGGGACCCCTGTCTTGTTTATCAACATGAAATCATGGCTGTTTCATAGGATGCTGGAAAGATTAAATGAGATGTTTACAAAGGTCCTAAAACCACAACTTTTACTCAGTAGGTGTTCAATAAACGGTACCTATCTTAAGTCTGCATTAGTGTTGGAGGGTATTAAACAAAGCAGCATTTCCAAGTTCTAAGTAAGGAGACTGTTAGGATAACGGAAGCAAACTGAATTAAGAGCTGGGTAAAATGACAGAATGCGAAGTCAGGTTGGCACCTCAGAAACCATTTCAACCACTCGCTTTGCTTAATAGTGAAGGAACGGTCATGTGTGGCAGTAGAAAAAAAAAAACGAGGAAAGATATCCCTTTAATTTTACTTTTGGCAAAATATTTTCAAGATAACCTTAAGTTTTACAAAATCATGTAAGGGAAAACTAGTGAGTTTGTTGAAGAAAACCAGAAATAGATTTTTTTAAAAGGACATGGACCATGAAATAAGCATTATGTTTCAAAGATCATGGGAAAGATATGTCTTTTTTTGGTCTTGCCTAGCGAGGGAGGTGAGATCAAACTGCCCAACTGCTGGACAATCTCAGCAAACACACCCACTGCTGAGACTTACTACGTGACTCAATGTTGGCTAGAATTGTCCATTTAGCTGGAGAAGCAGGAGGGAAGAATGGGTGGAGGAGTAAAGTATGGAATCAGGGATCAGCCATTTCCCATACCTCTCCCAAACTCCAAAGGCAATGATCACATTGGAGGGTCACCTAAACATGGGGAGTGAAGAAAGAAGTTGGAAGACTTTCCTCTTTTGATTATTCTATAGAATAACTCTCTACTTTTCCCAGTTTGTGGAAATTTTCTCTATGGTAGAACTGCTCTAAATCGTGCAGTTTTCCTCATGTCAAACTTATTTTTCTCTATACCTGGTTCCCCAGCAAACCTGAGCTTTTACCTCCATATCCGATATGCACCCCATCTCCACAAACTGGCATTCAATTGCAACTCTAAATTCTAAAGTGCTCAGAGTCAATATAACGCACTGACGATTCACAGACTGGACTGGGCATCTTTACTACATAAACCTAAAAAGTAAACAATGTCATTATGTTTGAGAGGACGGGGAGGAGACTGGTCTATATTTCCACTAAGGTAGCCAAAAAATATTCATATGAAGGGACAATGGGAGAGGAGCTGGCAAGAGTTTGGGCAGTACCTAGAAGGAAGATGGACTATCCTACAGATTACATATGACGGTGAATTGACAGAGGATTCATTGGAGCATCTTCAGAAAGTAAGTAATGTGTTTCAACACCACCAAAGTGCTAAAATAGGCTTCTTTTCTTCTCACCAGTATGAAAAGTTAGACAGAAGTCACTCCCAGGAATAGTAAAGGACATTCGCTGGGGACAGTCATGATGCATGAAGAAGGGATACATATTTTTAAGGCAGCAGGAATAAATTTCATCATCCTTCCCAGAGGACAGCAAAAATTATTCAAGGTGGCCACCAAGTCTGGAAACAAGGCAAATCCTTTAACAAATGGTTTATTGATATTATGTTATAATGAATGACAAAATATTAGTATCTAATTCTAGACTTTATGGCCACTCCATAGGATGAATCTTTGGAACAGGAAAAAAAAAAAAAAAGATTTTGTTTTCCTATAATTGTAAAGCTGTTATACTCAGTCCAGGGGCAGCTAGTACAACATTCTGCTCAACCCCACAGGATTCATTCCTTTCACCACCTATTTATAGTATGTTTGGGTCACTCACAGGAGGGAAACACTGTCAGCATCAATAGTTAGCAGCACTTTCAAAATACATTTTATTGTCCTGAATAGAAACTTTAACTATTCAATTAGTCCAGTAATTCCAAATGATCTTTTTACATCTATACATAAGACATGATCTTATAACATTTATGTAGCTAAATACTTATATTTCCCATGCTTTTTGCAGATTCCCAAAAGACTTTAGGGGATTCCCAAGACTTTTAGGTTTTTTTTTTTTTTCTCACAATAAAAGAAAGGAACAGTGTTAATCCATGAGAGTCAGACCAGTAGTTTAGTAAGATTCTCTTCACAGCTCAGTTCCCGGTGTATAGAGATTCAATACAGTCCCCTGGCTCTCAGTTCTTAGAAGAATTTGAGAGGGAAAAGGGCAGTAACAATCTGTTTTGTTTAACAGCCTACGAGTGAAAACAGATGTTAGAAAAAAAAAGTCAAACAAAAAACAGAAGCTAAATTCTTTCATCTCAGGATGTCTGAAAAGGAGAGCCTCTATGGAGTATGGATGCAGAAAAAAGTTATTCCTACTGGAAAAAAATGAACTGTGGACACAGTCACTCAACACCAGAGAAACCACCACTGTGAGTAAGTAGCTTCAATTTCACTGTCACCAGGAGGGCACACACCACACAGCATAGGACAAAGCCTGGGCTACAGCCCTTCGTGTTCATTCTCAGGCTTCTTAGTGCTGTGGTTCAACAGCCTTTGAGGGGTTGGGGAGAACCAGAGACCATCACCAACACGTGTAAAAAAGGATACCACAGCAACAACACAGCTGTCAATAATCAGCTAGAGCTGAAATTACACCCCGTTTTAAATCCACACTGTACTTGCTTTCTTGTGAAGGGCTTGAGACATGTGCAGAGACACCTTAAACATGTGTAGGTGACCTTCTTTTTGAAAGGCAGAGGAGGGCCTCTTCGTGAACACTTTCTACTCAACTGTTTTCCTATCAGTTCACCACTGCAACTAGAAAAGATGCTGCAAGCTACCTCAGCTAGCTTCTAATTTGGACACAGCACCAATACTACACACACGAATGAATGACCACATCTTCCTGGTTCTTCCACTGGGCAGGGTCAATATGCTTCTTTGGATTGAATAGGTGTGATCTTGTTCGAGAAAAGTGTGTAAACGTAGGGCCAGATTTTGTTCGTCTCAGTCCCAGAAAATTGGTGGAGCACTCCTCGGCTCCTGAAAAACAAAGTCCAACATACAAAGGCAGTTTAGGTTTCTTTTTCACATATTAGTGAGCCTAGATATAAAACAAGAAGATCCTAGATATAAAACAAGCATGATCTCATGGGTCTATGTCATATATCACACTAAGTGCTAAAACAGCCCCTTTCACACGTATCAACACCCCCACTGGGCGTACCTAAATAAGGTCATAGCTTTTGCCATTCTGGTATGCTTGTCATGATGCCACCTTTTTCTCCCCTTCAAAACACATCAAAGAATAGCATTATAGGGGCCATCCCAAATGTGCCTCAATATTTAATTTTCAAAAGCAAACCACTGAAAAGCTTTGGAATACTAAAACCCTTATTACTTAAATCAATCACGGAACACATGATTGACGTATTGTATAATATAATAATAAAATTATAATAATTATAAATTATAAATAATATATAATTATAAATTATAAATTATATAATTATAATCATAATAATATAATCATAAAACTCTGATATAAAGTTTGCTAAATTTTCTGTGGACTACAAGGCCAGAAAGTAACTGTAGCAAAGAGTATAAACTGCTGTTCTGAATGCACTCAGTGCACAGTTTTGTTTGACTTGCATGTTACTTAAAAAATTTTAATATATTGCCAATATGAAAACTGAGATTCCTCCCTTTCACAGGCACAGAGAGCCCGATTTCTGCTATTCCTGAAAAACAGGAATCACTGGCCTGTGTGCCCCTGGGGTGATAATTGGCTGGAGCAGCCCAAGACCTGTCCAGTTCAACTGTCACTCAACTGTCTAGTCTGACACATCCCCCACCATGTTTGAGACTCATTTCTAATACCTCCCTAGCCCCTGCAGCCATTTGAACTTTTAATCTCTGGTTTACAGTTAGCCTTTCTTTGTTAAACTCCCTACAGAAACTTCAAGAAGGGACACACCAGCCGTCTCTTCTAATCTTCTATCCAAACCAGATATTTTTATATGTGGGAGTGTCAACATATGTGGGATCACTATCTCAGCCACATAAAATTTTAGGAAAATGAAAATAAATCTAAATGTTGTTTTACATCCAGAACAGACAGAAGTGATCAGATTCGGGTCCTTATGTTCTAACAGTTTCAGGATAAATGTCTGAACCTTATCTTTCATGTATAACTCCAGCATTTCATCTGACTTCTGGGAAGGTTTTGGGTCCTTGGTGTTTATCTGTCTTAAAGAAACACGACTCTGCCTTAGCCCAGTGTTCTTCCTGGCAGGCTCCACGCCTTTCCAGTCTGCCCTTTGTCATGAAATACTGAAGCACACTCACTTGTATAATTCAATGACTGGCTTTGCCACATCTTTGTACTGTCTTAGCCTGGCAGCAACTGCTTCAGGTTTATCATCCTCCTGCTGGACTAATGGTTCACCAGTGACATCATCAATACCCTACAAATACCAAAGAAACCAATTAATATAGACAACAGTTGGGCCTTTCTGTGCAAAACCATCTATTCATCTTTGACTCTTACCACATGATAAATTAGGCCTTGGTGAGAGTGGTAATTGTAGGAGTAGCAGAAAAAGAAATAGCACACACTTGACAGTATGTTAACCTTATTTTCTGGGAGCTGACATTAAATCTTTATTAACAGTTCAGGTCTTTTTAAACCAGTTCCAGTGCGGTTGATAAATGGTACTTTCAATTCACTCTAAAATTCCATGCAACCTCCCCCAACAACAAACTTTTAGACAATACATCTTGGTTCTCTTAACTATCCCTAACACTACCTTGCCTTCTAAAATAAAGCCTGAGTTATTAATGCGGAAAACAACATCTCAAAAAAAACCCCCAAAACTTGGCTTACTTGGGAAAAATACTCATCTAGGAGAATACAGTTCAGTGCCATCTCTGACAGCTTTCCAGTTCTATCCTGGAGCATCTACGGAATTTCTTACTCAGGTTATTTTACTAGATCAAATAATGACATACACTGTAGGAACATACAGAAGGAAGAAAACTGACGTGACTGTGTCCTCACCTAAGTATATTACTCAAAAGAGAAGCTGGTGTTGATTGGTTAAATCCTTTATTTTAGCTTTTCTTATGTATTGCTTCTTTCTCAATGTAAAACAAACAAAAAATATGCCTTAACTGATAGTTCTGACTAATATAGTTTTTTTGTTTTTTTTTTTTTTTTTTTAGACAGATTCTCATTCTGTTGCCCAGGCTGGATGGAGTACAATGGCACAATCTCGGCTCACTGCAACGTCCACCTCCCAGACTCAAGTGATTCTCCTGCCTCAGCCTGCTGTGTAGGTGGGGTTACAGGCACCCACCAACATGCCCAGCTAATTTTTGTATTTTTAGTAGAGACGAGGTTTCACCATGTTAGTCGGGCTGGTCTCGAACTCCTGACCTGAGGTGATCCACCCGCCTTGGCCTCCCAAAGTGCTGGAATTACAGGCATAAGCCACCTTACCTGGCTCGTTTTATGTATTTGATTTGAAAATGTGTATGATTTTCTGCAACGTATTTATCTAATTATTTTGCTAGCTTTCTATTCACCCCCAAAAATCTCATGAAGGACATTATAATAGAGTTATAGCTGACATAATACATAGGGTTAAATAAAAATCTCCCCCCCACCAACTCTCATCATATGCAATAACATTTATCATCTGCGCAGGTACAGTGGCTCACGCCTATAATCTCAGCACTTTGGGAGGCCAAGGTGGGTGGATCACTCGAGGTCAGGAGTTTGAGACCAGCCTGGCCAACATGACAAAACCCCATTTCTACTAAAAATACAAAAATTAGCAGGGCGTGGTGATGATTGCATGTATTCTTAGCTACTCAGGAGGGTGAGGCAGGAGAATTACTTGAACCCAGGAGGTGGAGGCTTCAGTGAGCCGAGATCACGTCACTGCACTCTACCCTGGGTGACAGAGCGAGACTCTGTCTCAAAAAAACTTTTTAGCTGGGTGCAGCCTGTAATCCCAACACTTTGGGAGGGTGAGGCAGGTAGATCACCTGAGGTTAGGAGTTCAAGATCAGCCTGGCCAACATGGTGAAATCCCAATTCTACTAAAAATACAAAAACTAGCCGGGTATGGTGGCAGGTATCTGTAATCCCAGCTACTTGGGAGGCTGAGGCAAGATAATCACTTGAACCTGAGAGGTGGAGGTTGCAGTGAGCCGATATTGCACCACTGCATTCCAGGTTGGCCAACAAAAGTGAAAATCCCCATCTCAAAAAAAAAAAAAAAAAAATTAAATACAAATACATAATATTTATTTTAGTTGAAATTCTTAACTACTGAAATTAAGAGGAAATAGAAGGCATGAAAAAAAATTTTTTTTTAAAAGATGGGGTTGGCCGGGCGCGGTGGCTCAAGCCTGTAATCCCAGCACTTTGGGAGGCCGAGGCGGGTGGATCACGAGGTCAAGAGATCAAGACCATCCTGGTCAACATGGTGAAACCCCGTCTCTACTAAAACTACAAAAAATCAGCTGGGCATGGTGGCGCGTGCCTGTAGTCCCAGCTACTCAGGAGGCTGAGGCAGGAGAATTGCCTGAACCCAGGAGGCAGAGGTTGCGGTGAGCCGAGATCGCGCCATTGCACTCCAGCCTGGGTAACAAGAGCGAAACTCCGCCCCCCCCCAAAAAAAAAAAAAAAAAA